TGCAAACATCTCTCTAATAATACAAACATCTCTAGGATAAAACAAACATCCCTAGGATAAAACAAACATACCTAGGATAAAACAAACATCCTTAGGATAAAAAAACATCCCTCTATAATAACAAACTCGGATTTCCCCCTAATAACACAAACATCCTACTGATAACACAGGCACTCCTCTAATATCCTTACAATAACACAAAAATCCCAACATACTAATTTAAAATCAATGTTTTTAGTGCCACATGTCCAAATGGAAATGCTCATTGTGATTGGCTCGACGAAATTGCTCCTGGCTGCGTTTGTTCTCTCGGCAATTCTATTGTCATTGTTGATAGTCGATTTTAACCTCTTTTGCAGCAGGAAAGGACTGATTTATAACTTATTATGTTGTCGTAAACGAGAGACGAAAACAAGACAACAGGACATTATTCAGGCAGTGTAAAGCCTTGAACTGGGAATCTAAACACTCGCATGATGTAAATAGAACCTTACGTTGATCAGTCGTCATAATAATTTCCATCATTCAATCATTATAATCTTTTATGAAATCTCCTATGTTTAATATGTAATTTTTGTATATAAGTGATCAATTAATTGATTAATAATGGTAATAGAACGAGTATGATTTTGCCATTAATTGCACGATTGGATTCGTTCTATATCTAATTAATCATATGCCTTCTGTAATCAACTTGTTGTAAGAAAAAGTACTAAAACACAATTTAAGCTCATGAAAGGGTGCGATTAATGATTGATCGCACTCCTCTTAACCAAAGAAATTGCAGTATTTGCCCCTGATTACAGAAGGTATATAATTAATTATTTAATTAATTAATTAGCTCAAAGTAATTTTATCCTGTTAAATATTCGATTAATGAAAATAGTTAATATGCCTTGTAAATTTCAATAAAAAAACCCATTCAATTTTGCTTACGATTTTCAAAACTTTCATTCAATGATCGAAGAACGGTGGTTATAAGTTCAGGAGTTAATTTATAGCGAAACTGCAAAAATGCACCATGCTTCATTCGCAGAACTTAGACGCATTTATATGAACATCATGATCCGAAAAACATGAGTCATTGTATTTTCATGTAACTAAAACAGTCCAGTTGAGAAGAACATCCTCCCGAAGATGACTTTGCAATAAGTAGACTGCAAACGCCGGACATTAATCCAGTTAAACACCCACAAGCAGCAGCCGTCTACATCGACGTGAAATACGCACAAAAACACTGATGAAAAAATATTTCTAACAATATTCCTAATATAGAATCATATATAGTCTAGATCGCTCGCTGGGTTGGTAACTAAAAGGACTCTTGCATTACGAACACGTATATTCGGTGGCGTCAAGGAATTACACGTAACTTCAAAACTCTTCCTGTTTGTATTTTGTATTCATGCATGCATGTAAGCGGTCTACCGCCCACGAACCTTAATTTATTTCAAGCGCTGTAATAATAGAATCAGCCGACGGCTCGTATATAAACGCGGTATGGAGCAGTATACAGTTACGTAATGCTGGAGTGATGAACGTATAATAATTTGATCAAGGGAACCTCAACCGTACTTATCTATAGCACTTTTAAAGTATAAGGCATGCAATACGGTGTCTTAAACCTAGCTTTTACTTGAAATTTTCTGTGATTTTTGGAGCAGTATATCTCTTTATACAAACATATATATATATATATATATATATATATATATATATATATATATATATATATATATATATATATATATGCGGTTTAAAGATTTGTAATATGTTTTTATCATATATAATGATCATATATTAGTATAATATAGTTACTAACCCTCTCACTAATATCATATATAACTAAACTTATATATGAACTCTGATAAACTGTTAGTATATAGCGTCATTACAATCATGCATGCGTGCCGTTGACGCAAATCTCTCGTGTTTCGTGTGGTTCATTTCAATATTCCGGGCCAATTTGTTCAAATGAAAGGAAGTGCAAATTCTTCCCATATAATAGATGGTTCCAGATTTATAAAAAGTGGAAGACACCCATTCCATCCTAAAAGTACAAACAACAGTACAAAGATGCTTATATATAGGTATACTTTCAGACATAAGAATATAAAGAAGTTCTCAGAATCTTAAGTCGTAAGTAGGTATTCAATATATTGTTTGGAGGTTTTGCGGTCAATACAGTATAGCCATGCAAACACTATTCTGCGGTAAATATTTTGAAGCAAAATACGGGAGCTCTATAAGTTCACAGACAGTGCAATTATAGATTTGCATGAAATCCCGTTACCCGTTTTACATATATATATATAATACACCTGCATATTGCTAACTAAATGCTATAAAGTTGTTCAATTGTGTACTGTGTGAAATTATGATCGAGAAATATCGCGTGTCAAAAACACTCATGCACAAATGAGGTAGAACAAGTGTCTAATAAAATAGACCAAAAGCTTTTCAACACTTGGAGTTAGGCTATATATAACGATGCACTCATATATATACATGCATGTGCATATACTTTTCATCTATGCAGACCGGAAAAAAATGGCTAATATTTTATGTATAGCTATATCGCCCACCACTGACTGAGTTCTAGAGCCCCACCTGGCGGCAGTACCATTGAAGGGTATAAAATAACAATGAAGTATAATGTCTATCATCGCTATGTGTTCACATATAGTTGCAACTTATATTACCACTTGATGTAATTTGGGCATGCAACAAATATATGCGCATGCCATAGTAGTGATAGCTCACAAAATGTGTTTATATTATTATTAGCGAGTTCTTAATTTTATCAGAGGATTAGTTTAACCATATATGTGGGTGTCGACCGCGGGTCTTAAACGTATAATAGGTGTAAATATGCGCTGAAAATGAAATGAATTGGGAAACAAAATATCCAGGTAATCTTTCAGTCAGGAGACTTTAATGCAAGACATAATTGATTTTATTGATTATTACTGAGTTTTTTTTATCGTACTTATTTCAGGAACGTGATAAAATACATGTAAACAACTTACAAGAAAACTTTGAAGTCTTATTCTCTTTCTATAAGCCAGTCTAAGATGCTCTTTCTAGTTTTGAAGTGCTGTTTCTTATTTGCACTTGCCAGGGAATGCCAGCGTAGATAAAAATTTAGACAATATAGCTTAAATCGTCCATTTTTTATTCGTAGTTATAAACTGACGCAAAATGAAGAAAACCACAAGAAACAAACTGAATAGATCAAGGGAGGTTCATGAATCAATTTGATGATTTAACTTGGCGTGTCTGGACAAATTAAGTTATATCATTATATGCACACATTTAATCAATTACGTGTTACACCTTATCTTCCCCTGATGTGAAAAATGCACAGTCATATATCATAACATGTGGTGAGGGGAATGCGGAATTACATCCAACAGACCACAAGTAAGTACAATCGCTATAGAATTAACACCTCATACATAGCTATGATCTCTTTGACAAAGACTGAGCCAATTACGTCATGGCACAGTCAGAGGGGGAAAGTATTTTTTAAGCGGGGTAAAGCCGCTTTTGCATGCATGGGCATGTGTGTCCCTCTAACAAATTACACAACGAATAACTCTTTCTGATGAATATTAATTTAGACGTATAGCGGACTAAAGCGTGTCAAATATCCTGAAAGGTCTTGATATTTTAGGAAATATACGGATTTAAAATATAAACAAAGCGTTTGTTTGAATGATACGAACTGTATCCAATCTTAAAGCACCGGCATTTTTGTCCGACGGCGTATTGTAAATAGCATGTGATATTTGCCGATCTACCGGAAGTTCAATTCTACTCCGTCGAACTTTACCCGAACTCAATTTAACCTAATTTATTTTCCTGGTTTACGATTTACACTGTCGTGCTCGCAATTACCAGGGGACGGTTGTTCGAAAGGCGTTCAGCTTAAACGTTGGATAAGCCAAAATTTAAAAATACTTTCATATACATCTTGTGAATGCCTGAACCTGCATTAAATTATGCATTAAATACTATTTACATCGAAATATTTCAGCTCAGTTGTTCAATAGATAGATAATTTTGTTTTCCATTTTGAACTTATGCGCCGTTTAAGCTAAACGCCTTTCTAATAACCGGCCCCTGAACTGAGACCAAACCGTTCTATCATAAGAAATATTGTCAAATAACTCTTAAAATATATATATACATTTTCCCTTCAACTGTTCCTGGCTTGAATAATATACATATTATATATATCAGAAAATTAAACGTCTGGACGTTTCGCCATATTTCAATAAGGGTAATCACCGTGCGAGAGTTTGAATATAAAGAATTAAACATGCAGAAGATTCAAGCATAAGGTCAAGTGCTTGAATCTTGAGTAGGTGAGACTGAAACCAATATAAGAAGCAAGTGTCGAAATCAGTGACGTGAACACTCAAGAAGCCACCAGATTTTGACAAAACTAAGTACTATGTTATCGTATGGTACGTTCACGATAAAAATGTATTCGCGTGGGCTCTCAGCGGGCGGCCACCCCCTGCAGAGTGCACAAAATTGTACAAAGTTCAAGGAATACCTTTGAACAACTTGTACGAAGTACAATGGTATCATCGGTTAGGATACAGGCAAGCTGAATGTGCTTCACCGCCACAACGTGCTGAGCAAAACATCAAAGTATTTACTTCATTCTTGGGTTTCTCAAGGGCGAATCTTAAAAAATCAATCTTGGGGACATCACTTGAACTATATTAACCCACGCACGCTCCTGGCAAAAAGAGCAGTTGCTTTCTTTGGCTCTCCACAAGCACATAACTGCGGTTTACCAAAATTAAAATGTACAAACTAAAAATTGAGAAATGCTTGCATTTAAAAGCCTCAGCAGTCTCTAGCTTGAGCACAACGGAACGAACCAGCCTACAGTAATCATTCATATAGTATAATATATGGTGGTGTTTTGCATACACTTTAAAAGAAAATCAATTGCGAAAGTTTCCCCGTTAAGAATAATTTGTGAATTGAAGAGAAAAAAAATGGGTAAGTAAAGTTGATCTTGAAAAAGTTTGAAAACGTATATTTCTAGAAAGCAAATCATGGATATGATTCCCGCAGGATGTTTACAATATAGAGGGTCCGTAAAGGATATCAAGAGTGGATATTACTATAGGTGACATTGTAAGACCTAACTTGTGTTTGTCTTGAGCAATATTCAAAGCGAGAGTTACAAAACAAAAAGATTATTGGTTCCGCTCTGCAGAACCGGTTCCATAAGGTTCATCCTAGACCTGTTTTACAAGCTTTTCGTGTATCGAAACGATTCAACAATGTCGCGCACAATACGCCATAGTGACTGAAATTCTAAGAATCAAGTGTTTTAATTACATATTGCATCATTACAGTGTTTCTAACGTGCCTATAGGTTTGACGAGGTAATGGTGAGCTTAATATAATGTCAATGACTTTATCTCAATAAGCATATGTCCATCTGAGTTCTTTGTGTGAGCTAATTTATATGGTTTTCGGTTCTTGTATATCGATAAAACATGTCTAACCGGGGATCTCTAATGTTCAGCTTTATTACTACGATACATTCCCCAGAATAAACGAAGGTAGCATGGCGTATAGAAAAGTTATCTGCCCACGTATGATATGCGGGTGCCTCCACAAGCCGCCAAGCCTTTCTTGAATAACTTTGAATAATTTCAATCGGCGGATGTTTGAAAGAAAAATTGGCCGTGTCTAATTTTACCCTATAATAACCAGCGTGAATGATTCCTGCCGTGGATGATTGAAATTTAGGAACTTTTTACACAAATTTTAAGTGCTCTGAAGCGAGGTTAACCAGCAACCAAGAACGGAGGAAAATGGCTTAAATCACCTAAATGAGCAGCTAATATTTATGTATTCACGTTCAGCTTAATGAGTTTCTTTTGAGATTGATTGTTTTTACTGAGAAGAGGACATGAATATAGTTGCCCCGCCACTAAAAACGACTTCCGCCGTTCCTGACAACAATCTCAACTCAAGACGCTGAACCTCGTTTTTCCATTTCTAAATTCTTTTAAAATAGTGAGACCTGAATACCTAACTGGATTGTTTTACGCCATGGTTGTACAACCGCCTGTTCTTGTTTCTTGTTGTGGTGATATTTATCAGCTGGATGGTTACGGTAAGTAGAATCATTCAAAACTATAAGAGTATATATAATATATATATATATATATATATATATATATATATATATCGGATTCATCCTATTTTATTTCGCATTTTATCCTATTTGGTTTTACTGATGAAGAACTGTTTGTCTGCTGGGAATGACTTCAAGTCTTCAACACAGACGTTATTTTTACAATAACATATATCTACTCCTAAAACGACGGTATTTCCCCTTTTTCAATATCTCCACGGGAAACTGTAAATAAAATGAATAGACCTTTCTTATAATGACGTCAAACGCGAAAAATCTGATGTTACACGCGAAATTTGATTGGCTCCACAAAACTATCCAGCCAATCAAACTTCGTATTAAATCGGACATTCAGACGTCATCATAAAAAAGGTGTATTCTAGGCGTTTGTCATCTGGACAAACGCTACCTCACCCCTAGCTCGTTTTTGAGGTGGAAAACAATGACTGCGCGATTCTCGGTCTTATTCCTAGATATTACAAACTTGTGACTTAGATTCGTGTTTCCTCAACAATTGCTTTAAACTACATATTGTAATGCTACATTTGCATAGCAACATTTTGTAATTTCAGAACCAGCCGTGGAAGTTGTCTCAATCTACGGTGACAACTTCGACACCCCAAAGGGCAGAGAACCATTCTTTATTGAAACACACCGCTGTGTTTCGAAAGGCTTTACAGACGTCGATGAATGGCCTCTCCCAGATACACAAAACGAGATAGAAATTGTTGTGGCGGATTTGAATGACGCAAAAAAATTTTACAAATACGTTGTGTTTAACCACACCTCCTGCAAATCTGGTTTTAAGAAGCCAATACTGCACAAGACGCTTAAATCCAACCAAAGTGAGTTAAGGCATGATCTTATGAATAAAACAACCTAGTTTAGGTTTCTTATAAAGTTAGTTTAGTTTAGGTTTCCTCCTGTAGTAACACTGGATCAATAAGAGATGATCCTTACTGGACCTCTAGGAAGAACAGTTTAGAACTGATAGAGCTATCCAGTATAAATAAAGTTAGTTTAGTTTAGGTTTCCTCCTGTAGTAACACTTGATCAATAAGAGATGATCCTTACTGGACCTCTAGGAAGAACAGTTTAGAACTGATAGAGCTATCCAGTATAAATAAAGTTAGTTTAGTTTAGGTTTCCTCCTGTAGTAACACTGGATCAATAAGAGATGATTCTTACTGGACCTCTAGGAAGAACAGTTTAGAACTGATAGAGCTATCCAGTATAAATAAAGTTAGTTTAGTTTAGGTTTCCTAAAGAACAGTTTAGAACTGATAGAGCTATGCACTATACATATAAGGTTAATTTAGTTTAGGTTTCCTCCTGCGGTAACACTCAATAAAAAATTGTCCATATAAAAATATAATTCAACCGGATGTTCAATTTTATTCTTGATCTTAGTCAATAGAACAGAATTTGAGAAAAAATTACCCAACAACCCAGTAAACTTAAGAAGCCTGACAGGATCATTCTGCGACAAACCTCAACCACGATACAGGGTTCACCCTCATGGCGAAAACGTCAAACCTTGCGAAAAGCTCATACCATTCAAGCAATGTTTGCCAGGTTGTTACGTCACCAGAAATCACTTGATTTTGAAAATAAAAATGATTAGTGAAAAAGAAGCGAAAGTCGAGTATTTCAACGACACGGCGTGCTCACCACATACAAAACAGCCAACCACACCACCGTGCTCTGGAAATCGAAATACGAGTTTAAAAAAACAGGGGACAAAATCTTCAAGGAAAGCTGATCAATCGTCTCTTTCGACTAATGAAATATATGACTCAGGTAAGACCATGTTCTATAACACCATGCAAGGAAATTGTATTAGAAAGAGTGATGAAGAATTTATTTTAATTTAGAAGCTGAGCACGGAGTGGTTATACGCATCGCCTCTCCCCGGGTCTTTCTTGCCGCGTTTGTTCTGTCGCTCGTCCTGGTGTCGATAATTATAGTCGATTTTAACTTGTGTCATCGTAAGAAGGGGCTGTTCTATAGTGTTCTGAGCTGTTCTAGCGATAAGGCCGACAAGAACTGCATCTGTGCCGGCGGCAAAGGACATGAAGTGATTGAAATTGTTTAAGATGATTTATGGGTGAACACATGGAAACACATGGAAACAATGTAGCCGTCTCTCGTAAAACAACGGGCTCCCAGAATGCCGTCGCGGCATGAATAATTGGATGTGGCTATCCAGTGACGAGAGAAAACGCAAGAACAGAGCAGCAAGAAATAGGGGCAGTGAGCAGCGCCCCATCCCCGTCCCCGTCCATGGGGTCCTTCTTGAAACAGTGAGATGTGAGTGAAAGAATGGAAGATGTCAGAATACGACGCCCCCCACCCCCTGAAGTTTCCATGTTGGGTCCCTTTCCCCCACCACGGGCATTTGATCTCTAGTGTTTGTAAGCAGTGAGTTTGTGAGGATTGTACGAATTCAAAGCGCATGTCTGGGCAACGTGTGACGAGTAACAACCCTCTCCACATAGAGGGCAGGGTGTTGCCCCACTCCATATAAAGAGAATAGAAACCTATGTGCATGCATAGGTTCAAGTACCAATATGTCTGCAACATTATTTCAGCTCAAAACAAATCTTGATACAGGTCAGAAAATATCAGCTTTCAAGCTAAAATCTTTCCTGTATTAAAATAGCTCAATTTTAATTGTGCAACGGTTACGATTAACAACTAAAATTAATTTACTTCACTTTTATACATTGTTTAGCGTTCATAGATATATATTCTTAGTTTTATATTGACTTATATATGCATAGTTTTAGGAGATTGCTTGAATTGAGAAAGAACAATTGACATTAGTCATATAATGATCGTTATTGTAGAAATTAACTTTACAATGTTTTTATACACTTGTTGTTAAAACATTTAACATATATTTCAAATAAAATTGAAAAACTGCCCAAAACGTTGGAGTTTTTTGTGAAAGATTTCAGAATTATTGCCAAAAGCAAAACTATTTAAAGTTTATGGGATTCGAAGGACACTATAAGGGGTAATTGGGGATGGTGAGAGTTATACAATGTTTGGTATTTGGGAATACGATTACGGCCGTTTACAGAATTTGAAATTCTATTTTGCGAGGCTTCACGATGATTCACGATGTTTCACGATGTTTCACGAATCCTCCCGGAAGACAACGTCGGCGCACCTTGAATCACAAGTATTAATTTCCGAAACGTATTGCATAATAATAAAAAGAAAGTGCTTTACTCTTCGAAGAAGCGAAACTCATCACTGCATGTTGCAACATCGTCACGAAATGCATTGGACTTGAGTTTGGGCCAAATTGCTTGCGCATTTTTTTCTAAGGACTGGCGACTGAGTCTGAGTGATTTATTTTTTTCACATTTGTTAAATGTGCGGTCGACACACACCTTCCTGCTGCAATTTTGCTTCGTGTTAGACAAAGCAACTTAGGCTGCAACGCGATGATACGCGTGAGACTGACGTGCGAGAGATCATCTCTAGTTTACCAATGCTAAACGTACGTGAACGGGACAGACAAATAAACTCCGATTAAAACTGCTCGTCTTGTTAGCCTGACCTCATGCACTTCTACATGAAATGGCTACCCATCTTCAGAAAGAAATTGCCTACAATCCTGGACAGAACCTTTGAGATTACTGGTGAAATATTGAGCCGTGTTTCATTCACTCAATTGCGTGTATTCTCTTAAACAGCATCCCTGCCCTCTTCCTGCCTCAAAAGTCAATGTCGTTTCGACATGAGCTTTACTCGGCATCGTTGGCATTAAAATGGCAGCAAAATTGAACTGGGGGGGGGGATGCCGGGTTGCAACAGCAGAGAAAATAAAAATGAAAATTTACGAAAATTATACGAAAATGCTTAGTGACATACTCTCGACAGGTTTTGTCTAAGATTGTAGCAAGTTTCAGTGATTAATTAACATGGAATACAAAAGTTTATAAACTCACCACTTGCATGTAGTTGGAGAAATAATGAACCTTACTATTGACGGCGATAACTGCCTAAAAAGAAACAAGAATTTTGTAACTATGTTAAACCACTATAACGGTGAAGGTCTTACTAAAAAAGGAATAAGGATTAATATAGACTATATATTAGATAGACTATGTAAGTTAGAGATTTGTTTCAAGCGGACTTCTCTTGTCTGGAAGCGAGTGAAAGACGATGATCCAGTTTGCTCGAGCAGTCCAGCTTATCGGTTTATATTCTAGGACCTGGTTTCATAAGACCTTTTGCGACGAAATATCTCGTGTGTTTTTTTAATCAGTTTCGTCCACCGAGCATTAACATTGCTACGTGACTGCCTATAGTGCCTACATCTCAAAAGAGACTGCCAATGTTTGTGCTTGCCAAGAAAAGGCACTCCTGGAATCACACATTGCAATGCAGATATAGAAGATGCTGACCACACGCGAAACCCTTCTAAAAATACCACCAACTACAAAGCATCTCTGATACCACATTCTGGTAACGGTCAGGTAAGTATACCTTCCTACTCTACATCAAACATTTATGGGGCTCTCGTGCAATAAAAACGATTAAACAAGTGGCCCAATGATGCCCAAATGATGAGTTGATAAGGTGATGACTGCAGACAAGTTTATAAAACGATAAATATTTTCACACCTCAAAACTGAATTGCACTAAAGTATTTCATCAATTTCCTATAAAGTGAATTTAAGCAAGAAATGTGCCAAAAATGTTGACCACTGTTCCTAAGGACTACTGCTGAGTGCTGAGTCAAACAGCAATCACAATACGTTCCCGCGGTTGGAAAATAAAGAAACCAAGAAAAACAAACACTACATTTAGGCATATCAATATCAAGTGCCGAAAACATTACAATCATTATGATCAATTAACAGCCTATTAGTGACAATTCTCGACATTTTTCACAATTGTTAAACAAATTATATTCTTAAACTGGCGTGGGTGCCCACGAAGAAAATGTGTCAAATATTTTAGCTGGGACAAAAGACAAGGATGATTAATTGCCGTTACAGTATAATTATATAAATAAGACCACAAGTAATCGTGATCCAATTCAGGATCAACCATGCAAGAATTTCAGTAACATCATTATACGGAGCTGTTTCCAAGGGAAAGCAAACAACCGCAAATTTTTTTGAAATGAGATGTTTTTGAAAATTCCATATAGTTCAGAGCTGGTTGATCATCTTGTGTTGACTTTTCTAATAGCAAGGAGCGAGTTTAAATGTATTCCCAAATCGCGTTATATATGTAATCATAATTAATCCCCGTTTAAACTACAGTCTAAACTCAATTCATCGGCACGGCCCGGCATAATGCGTATACCCGTACTTATTTTATCCGTGCTCGTCCGTTTTACTGATAGCTAGAGCATATTAATTGAGCATTAGTACCAATTTTAGCTGTGACGCGTGTAAATACATCGACTTCATTGTAAACAAAGTTTTATTTACACAGATATCGAGGTATGCTATTTTCGCAATGTATCATGATGATACACCCTATAATGCTATATTGGCCACGCTTATTTCTTTATTCGTGCTCAGTCAGGTAGAAGAGTTCAAGTGGTTGCGATCCAAAAAAAAGCAGGCGAAATATATTTTTGTTGGATATTCGCTTTACGGTGATGGCAATAATTGTTCCACGTGCGCTTTTGGCTGGGTAAAATTCAAAATATTTCGCCCAGTCAAATTGCACCCAAAACAAATATCCATGCAAGATGAGAATGCAGATCTATCTCGTTTATAAAATATCCTGGCCGCCTTTAGTTCGCCGTTATGGTCTGTTCTACGATCCAATTCTGTGGGATCCAATTACCTTCTGTCAACAGAACCTGAATGTCGTCCTTCGTGAGCAGCATGCGCGCACGCGATCTTCAGGTGCCAAAACCGGCGCGGGGGAAGTGCGTTCGCTTCGAGAGGGCTTCATGAAGCATGTCTGTCATCAAAGATTTGCCAGAATCCTCTCGCTCCAAAAAAAGCTTGTTAATGGCTGTTTATATACGTCCTTGAAAGCCCCCAATCGCTTCCAAACAGTAAAATCAGTCAGGCATAAGACGAAGGGAGTGATATGTCTTCCCCGATTAAGTCCTAATATAGACACGGTATACTGCTTTGCTTGTTTTAACTTGGGTGCAAGTACACACAGAAAGCTCGCGAATGCGCCTTTGCATGAGAGAATAGCCAGTGTTAAACCATAACAATGAGATTATTGCGTCTAGACCTTATTCTAAGAGATTATAACTTAATTCTTATTTAATTTAAACTAGTAATAAGGTCACCACAACACTGTGTAAACATCAGTTACAATGGGCCCCAATGCACCAAATCCACATGGCCCACGCCAAAGCAATTAAACATTGAATTTAATTAACAAGGAAAGAAAAACCTAGAGGTTATGCGTTTTTATTGCGTTATCTGATTCTTCGTACTCCGTCAAAGTTGCGTATAAACGGCGGAGATTATAAACCTTATGGGAAACAATATTTCCAAAACATATGATACCATGACAGAACATGCAGAGATGCACACATTGCATAGAATAGGATGAATTTTCGTTTACCAGTCCAAACCTAAACAACCGCAGCGTGTCATACAGAATATTCTAAGATTTAATTTTATTTTCATTCATATATCCGTTGCAGCCCGGCATCCAAAATCGCCCCGCGTCGCCCACTTTAACCAAGTTCTATATTCGGAGCGGCTTAGAAAGCCGGCTGTGACCGCATTTCACGGCCTGTTCTCACACAGACGGTGGTGTAAGACTGATACGAAGATAATAGCACCATCATGAATTGACGTTTCACTTTCATGCAATATTCAGACAGAATTTCCTCTTTGTTCCTTTGATTTTCCTCTTTCATCCCTTTATTTCGCCTCTTTGTTCCTTTGATTTGTCTCTTTAGGTTTCCTCCTGTAGTAACACTGGATCAATAAGAGATGATCCTTACTGGAGCTCTAGGAAGAACAGTTTAGAACTGATAGAGCTATCCAGTATAAATAAAGTTAGTTTAATTTAGGTTTCCCCCTGTAGTAACACTGGATGAATAAAAGATGATCCTTACTGGACCTCTAGGAAGAACAGTTTAGAACTGATAGAGCTATCCAGTATAAATAAAGTTAGTTTAATTTAGGTTTCCCCCTGTAGTAACACTGGATCAATAAGAGATGATCCTTACTGGACCTCTAGGAAGAACAGTTTAGAACTGATAGAGCTATCCAGTGTAAATAAAGTTAGTTTAGTTACGGTTTCCTCCTGTAGTAACACTGAATCAATAAGAGATGATCCTTACTGGATCTCTAGGAAGAACAGTTTAGAACTGATAGAGCTATCCAGTGTAAATAAAGTTAGTTTAGTTTAGGTTTCCTCCTGTAGTAACACTGGATCAATAAGTGATGATCCTTACTGGACGTCTAGGAAGAACAGTTTAGAACTGATAGAGCTATCCAGTGTAAATAAAGTTAGTTTAGTTACGGTTTCCTCCTGTAGTAACACTGAATCAATAAGAGATGATCCTTACTGGATCTCTAGGAAGAACAGTTTAGAACTGATAGAGCTATCCAGTGTAAATAAAGTTAGTTTAGTTTAGGTTTCCTCCTGTAGTAACACTGGATCAATAAGAGATGATCCTTACTGGACCTCTAGGAAGAACAGTTTAGAACTGATAGAGCTATTCAGTATAAATAAAGTTAGTTTATTTTAGGTTTCCTCCAGTAGTACGTTAGTAACACTGGATCAATGTCTGGCAAAGTGCATGAATACACACTTCGCAAAAACACACCTCCTGCAAATGTGGACGAAGAAGCGAACGCAAGAAGGAATACTATGAAAGCACCGTTCAAGAAAGTATGAAGATAATCTCTCTGAAATAAATGCAAATTCAAAATAGTTAAAGATGTTGTCCAAGAATATCTACCACATCTACATGTACAATATAAGCAATATGCAGTGTAAATAAAGTTATGGTAAATAAAATTCACTCAGTTTAGAACAGTTTAGAGTCAACGTGTTAAAGTTTCGTGCTAAGAACATTGGAAGGTAATGGGGGGGAAGCAGGATGTCTTTAAAGGTGGCTGCCGCACCACGTTATTTTGAGAGACTGCCCACACTCAGACAAACGTTGTAAAAGGTTTCTCACGACCTTGAGCAATTAGTGCACACTCTCGTTAATCAGTTAGCCCTAACCCTAAACCCTAACCCTAACGTAGCAATTTTAATCGCTAAAACAATATTCTAATGGTATAACTGCAAATTCCATTCCATATTAGTGCAGCGTTATGATGCAATTTGCATCACGAATTTTATCGCTAATTATATACCACATACAACAATAACTTCCGAGTGTTTGCATAGG